CAGAGAGAGATAGGACACGAGCAGGGAAAGGATCAGTGCCTTCCAGTGTTGAATCCATTTTAACCCTTTAAAGCCGTCGGAGCGGGACACGCTCCTGTTTGCGTAACTATTTTTAAATCCCGGTAGCACTGCAACCACGTAAGCTAGCGCAAAAATTTTTTTTGCATATGAAACCGGAGGAGTTGTACTTACATCTTATGCCATCAGCTTGTCCTGGTCACGGTTTCCTTCCACATAAAGCTTTGCAAAAACTGCATAAAAAGCGCTTGCAGGAACAAAAACATAATATTCCAGAAACACGCTTTGCCGATCCGATCAGCTGTTCATAACACTTCCTACGTTGGAATAGACGTCAGCGCGAACTTTTGCATTTCCGCCATTACCTGCCCGAAACCGGAAGTGACGTCATTTTCGCGGAAATGTAGTCTTTTTTACCATCAGGGCCTCAGGGCCTATACTGGTCTTTTTAAAAGTTATCTTTGACTTTATGACTTTCTGTGTCGTTTCTGGGATGCTTAGGACTCATATTGCACTGCTGGAAATAGTTTATTTTGATGCATATGCTGCTTTTTTGCAAATTTGCAGTATAATATTTATTTTCGTTTTTCCTGCAGTGTATAAAAATTGGTGTATTTCAAAAATAAAACTATGAAGACACTCAAAATAAATTTCCTGTGGTGGGAAACTATTTTGTGCAACTTTTTTGTATTTACAGTTTTGAGGGATAAGCCTCTTAAATTTCTCTAACTACAAATATATGTTAAAAAAGCAAAAACGATTTTCAATTTTTTTGTAGTTTATTGCACTTTTTTGCAATTTATGTAATTACTATGCACTTAATGAATACATATTATTAAAATCTGGGCTATAATGGTTGTTTATATTAATTGCGCGCATAAACTGTTTTTATGTTTTGTTGGTGGAGTAAGTTGATTTAACAGCACATTAAGGTGGCTGAACTACTCCACTGAATTGTTTACCGTTGATAGCTCACGTACTGGTTGAATGAGAAAAAAAAGTTGTGCGTCATCACGTAAAATCGACAACCGCTTTCAAGAATAGCTTGAAAGTAGAAGCCTGTTGTTGATAACTTATCTCGTTCTTCATGCCAGTGACAGCTTCACGGGTCTGACTGTATATTTAACTCAATAAAATACATTGTAATCAAGCCTTCTACAAAACGAAACTAAATGGTTTGCAGTCCCTCTGCAGTAACTGTTTTAAGAGGAACCTTACAAACAGAACTAAACAATGAAATATAGTTGGCATGACGATCATGCCCAGATTGTATAAAATAAATAAAAGGAAATCATTCATATGAAAACCTTTTCTATAAAAAGAGAGATGCATAAGGTAGATTAAGGCTGTCTCATTGTTCAGCCAAGGAAAGTGTGTGAAAAGGTAAATGTCTCCAGCCTGGATGACGGGTGGGACTGCAGCCCACCCAGAGCCCTTGATGGATACAAAATAAAATATAGAAATCAAAAATAATAATAAATTACTTGGTTCGACAGGCAACAGAGAGAATGAATGTGACTGAAGGTTGGATCTGAGATGAGGCAAACAGAAGACCAGTCTAAAAAGTAGGCACAAACCTGTTCAGAGAAAAAGCAAATTTGTACAGATTGGATGAATTCTAAATTATCTGTTTGCTGAGTAAGATGATCCTAACTATTAAATTGGCTCAGTAGTAGTATAGTGATTTACACTGATAAAATGTTGTAATATACTGTTGTATTATATAGAAAGAAAAAGATGATAATATTAATAAAAATATAATATTAATGACAAGAAGTATCCTAGTCAGTATGATGTGAGATGGATAATTGTTATGAAGTAGTCTGCATCAAGCTTAAGGTTTGCTCGAACTCAGTATAATGACATATGAGATGAAGAAAATAAAGGCAATATCTAAACCAATTAGGTGCATAGAGGCACTTAACCTGCTTGAAAACTGTCATTTATCCTAGATAAATATTACTGAGATGTAGAGCACATTTATAATGACAACTAATAAGCCAAACCCTGTAGATGACAGCTAAAGCTACAAGATTGAGAAGCTGATTTAAATATGTGGACACTACTAAGCTAATGAGCGAGTTAAACATTTTTATTTATTTGTTTTTAGGCAGAAGCTGCATAGAGGACAGCACAGGGAGCTGTCTATCAATGAATAGAAAACACACATACACAAATTGTTACATGTGAAATTATTTTTGGAAAGAATCAGAAGTGAGATGGTTTTGAATTAAGAAATCAGTGAAAAGATGCATGAATTAAACCTGATAATAACATACAGAGGCAATGAAGAAAGCAGCTTACACTCACTGAACATTAACATGCATAGGAAAAGTAATGAAGACCTGCTTACACTTATACACATAACATAAGTTGGTATTTCTGACCAGAGAGAGGGAAACGGGTAGTTTAAGTACTCAGGATAATAATGAAAATGTCTTAGTTGTGTTTCTTCAGGAGCAAAACAGACCTGGACAAGCAGAAAATGCATTAACCTTACAAGGACAAGCAAGAACACAAACATGCGCAATGAAGAACAGCTTGCTATTTGTATGAGTGATAGAATGTGAGCTCAGTTTTCCCTCACACTTCTGCTCTGTTTCAGTAGCAGCATTTTTCTTTTTGTGTCCTGACTCATGTATGTTTTTTTGTTTTTTTGTTTTATTTGATTATTTTATTTTGTTGGTTTGGAAACAAATTTGTGGCAATACTTGTGGATCACAGTGACACATAGTGATTAGGCATATGATTTACAAATGCCCAGTTTTAGAGCTGTAAACTGTGAGCAATTCAAAGTTTAAATTGCATATCATTTTAGAGTAGAGAACTGTGAGCAATTCAAAGTTTAAATATATATATATATATGAGAGAGAGAGAGATGAAATAAGAAAACTTTAACTTCAAAGTTGAAATATGTAAGATGAGTGAAATGTGTGAATTCTTTGAGAAACAAGAAATTATTTAAACATGCCTTAAGTGAAAATGTAATGTTGCATCTATAGAGAAGAAAAAGCGTGCAGTATTTTAACAATAGGCCTTTTAATAAAAACAACTGAAGCAACATGTAATACTCCGATTTTCCCAGTAAAAAAAAAAAAAAAAAAAAAAAAACAAACACGGGGAAATATCGGCTAGTACATGACCTTAGAGCAAAGAGGTCACGTACCTTGGCCACAGACTGACAGGACAAGGCAGACAGCTATTAGACAGCAGAAAACTAGTGGTGCAAAATGCTACAAAAAACCTGAATTGAAACTGAGAACCTTAGCTTTATTGCTGGTGATAAACGACAACGTGAACTGAACAATGACACTGAGAACTGACCACACAGGCATAAATCTGAGGGTACGATGCGACACTGAGCACAGGAAAACACAGGGCTAATATACACAGGGTGGTAATCAGCGAATGGGCAACAGGAGGGAGACACAGCTGGGAGAGATCAGGGCTAACGAGACGGGGGGAACCAAGCTGCCCACACTAACATAAGACGCAGACCTTCACAATAAAACAGGAACAAGAAACCATCACACTAAGACACAGACTTGACATTTGAGAGAGACAGAAAATGACACATGGAACTAGACATATACTAAGCAGACCAAACCGAAGAACAAATCCTAAACACAAACATGAAACTCTCATCATCATCATCATCATCATCATCATTAACACAACAGGAGAACAAGAAAACAATCCCTGATGCAAAATTACACCAAAACATAATAAACTCAAAATACTGGGTCCACCGGAACCAGAACCGTGACAGATGGTTTGGAGGAAGTAATTATTGAAGTTAATTCAGAAAGATCAATTGGAGAAAAAGAGTCTTAACTTAAGGTTTACCTGTCAATCACATTCAAATGGGACCACCCGAGTCTAACTTTGTCTTACTGCTCAATGTGTAGATCTCAAGTCACAGATCTACACATTGTGCACTTCTTGTGAGGAACCAATCTCTAATCAAAATGTATTTCAGGCCCCGCCCCTTCACCTTCTTTTTCCCAGATGGGTGGTATCCAAATTTCATCAACACGGCATGTCAATAAAAGGGAATGGCAAAGCAATAAAATGAAATGACTAGGGTCAGAAAATCTGAAAGCTATCATGAGCTCATTTTTACAAAGTAATTTGTTCTTGTTCGTTTTGCTGTATTCTTATTTTTCTCATACTATACCCTCTTCTCTGTTTCCCTCCTCGTGCCAACTACAGGAGCAATTTAATCTAAACAGAATGCAGAAGAGTGGAGAGGTCATCCTGGGAGGACTGTTTCCAGTCCACTTTTTCTCAAGCATTCCTGACCTGTCTTTTACCTCACAGCCACAGCAACCTACTTGCCATAGGTGAATATGAAAAGGAAACAACAGAAAAAAGAGAGAAACAGGACAAACCTAATGCTAATATAAACATAATTGTAATATCTAATTATATTGTGTTGATTAATAAAGCTCAGCTGTTTTCTGAGTATCCTGATGTATTTTTCAAATCAAAATGTTTTTTGTTAGTTTCTATGTACAAGGATTTAGACAAGCACAAACCATGGCTTTTGCAATTAATGAGATCAACAACAACTCCAACTTGCTACCTAATGTGACTCTGGGATACACCCTTTATGATAATTGCGTTGAACTTGGAATTGGATTCCGTGGAGCATTGTCATTAATCAGTGGTCAAGAGGAACAGATTATATTACACAATACATGTGTTGGAAATCCTCCAGTTGTAGGGATTGTGGGTGATTCTTCCTCTACTCCTTCTATTGCTATCTCCAGCATCTTAGGTTTGTACAGAGTACCTATGGTAAGTTTTCAGTTTAATATTATTTTTGTTTATATTAACTTAATTGTACATTAAATGTTTAAAACAATGTACAATATACAGTCTGTATCTTTCACAGGTGAGTTATTTTGCCACATGTTCCTGTTTGAGTGACCGTCAAAAGTATCCATCCTTCTTTAGGACGATCCCAAGTGATGCTTTCCAGGTTAAAAATCAATCTGGACAAATACAAAAAGTCAACAGCAGCTGATGAGCAGCACTCATGTTTTAATCTGTTCTCACTTAGGTACGTGCAATGATTCAGATTCTAAAATATTTTGGCTGGACTTGGGCAGGTCTGCTCATCACTGATGATGATTATGGACTTCATGCAGCCAGATCCTTACAATCTGAGCTGAGTGTGTCTGGAGAAGGTTGCCTTGCCTATGTTGAGGTTTTACCCACTGACAAAGACACAGATGAACTCAGAAGGATTGTGGATGTGATGAAGAAATCCACGGCTCATGTTGTCATTGCCTTTGTGTTTGAGACTCACATGATAAACCTTATGGAAGAGGTGCAGTTTTAAAAGAATTTGTTTCTCTAAACTGGTTAATACATGTATTATGTCTTTATTTGAATGAGTACAGAAAAATAATGGTATAGAATTCATAGAAGTCAAGCAAGCACTTCAATATTATGATGATGTCAGTCATTGCTATTTACAATACTGCTTTTTACAATGCACAGATAGAAAGGCAGAATGTAACAGGCCTACAGTGGTTGGCCAGTGAAGGCTGGACAGCAACAGCTGCTGTGCTTCAAACACCTCAGCTCATGCCATATCTAGGTGGTACACTGGGCATCGCTATTCGTCGAGGAGAAATACCAGGGCTCAGGGAATTCCTGTTACAAATACGCCCTGATCTGCTTGACAGTAATAGCTATGGAAAGACAATGGTGAGAGTTCAAAACTTTACTGTATTAGCTGCAAAAATTTAATTTTGTCCTTTTTAAAAACAAAAAACAAACAGCAGGTGCACACAAACACAGCTATTAATAATATATTTCAATCATATATTTCAGGTGAATCAGTTTTGGGAATTCACATTTCAGTGTAGATTTGCTCCAGCTCCACCAGGCTGGCTGGAAGCTGGAGGAGCATTATGCACTGGACAGGAAGATCTAGAAAATGTGAATACTGAGTTCTTGGACATTTCCAACCTCCGGCCTGAGTATAATGTGTACAAAGCTGTTTATGCCCTGGCATATTCCCTTGATGACATTCTGCAATGCAAGCCAGGAAGAGGGCCTTTCAGTGGGCACAGCTGTGGCACTTTGCAATCACTGGAGCCTTGGCAGGTGTGATATTAATTTATACTTCATCTATGAGTAAATCATTGGTTCTATAATTACTTTCAGTACAACAAAATGTACCCTGTCGGATAAAAAAAAAAACAATTCAATACGATGAAATGAGCTGAAGAGAGCTAAATGGGTTTTTCATATTGAGCGAAAGTAGTGTTTAGTATATTTATATTAGAGCACATTAACTAGTATGCATATTTATTGCACAATTATAGATACCCATGCTTAATTTAGAATTAGATTTTAATGCATTTAAATACAAAAGTATAATAATTGTTAGATTTAATTTGGTTATTGGATATAGAATGTCACTGTCTGCACTGTGAAATTTATTTCTTGCATACTTATACCTTTAACAGCTTGTTTATTACTTGGAAAGGGTAAACTTCTCCACTCCATTTAGTGATCAACTGTCATTTGATGAAAATGGTGATGTTGTGCCAATTTATGATGTGATGAACTGGTTGTTGCTCCCTGATGGAAGCATTAAAGTTCAGAGTGTGGGTGAGGTTAAGGGGTCAGCTTTCAAAGGTGAAGAACTCATACTTGATGAAAACAAAATCTTCTGGAACTCTATATCAAACAAGGTTAAGTATGCTTTTATTTGATCGTTACCTTTTATGACATTTACATTATATAGAATTGCAGCAGGCAATATTTATTTATTTTTTTGTCCAACAGCCAGTTCGATCAATATGTAGTGAAAGCTGTCCACTCGGTACCCACATGATAAGAAAGAAGGGGGAACCCAAATGCTGTTTTGACTGCATCCCTTGTTCTGACGGAAAAGTCAGTAATATGAGCAGTAAGTGTATTTTCAAGTTTTTTTTTTAATCTGTCAGCATGACATGTTGAATTTCATTTTCATTAAATATAGTAGGCATTTAATTATCTTCCCCTTTCATCATCTTTCTCCCTTTTGCCAGACTCCTTGGAATGCACCAGTTGTCCAGAGGATTTTTGGTCAAACCCCCAACGTGACCACTGTGTTCCTAAGAAGACAGAGTTCCTCTCTTACCTTGAGCCTCTGGGTATTTGTTTGACAGCAACCTCATTACTGGGCACATTTTTATGTGCTGTTATTCTAGGGATTTTTATCTACCATCGCAGAACACCCATAGTACGTGCCAACAATTCAGAACTTAGTTTCCAGCTATTGCTGTCACTCAAGTTATGTTTCCTGTGTTCACTGCTGTTCATTGGACGACCCAGGCTGTGGACATGCCAACTCAGACATGCAGTATTTGGGATCAGCTTTGTGCTGTGTGTCTCATGCATCCTAGTAAAAACCATGGTTGTTCTGGCTGTGTTCAAAGCCTCCAAGCCAGGAGGGGGAACCAGTTTGAAGTGGTTTGGTGCTATGCAGCAGAGAGGAACAATTCTGTTTCTTACATCTATTCAAGCAGCCATTTGCACTGCTTGGCTTGTTTCTGCTTCCCCAACTCCACATAAAAACACCCAATACCAAAATGATAAGATTGTTTATGAATGTGTAGTTGGGTCTAGTGTTGGTTTTGCAGTGTTGTTGGGTTATATTGGCATGTTGGCTTTCCTCAGTTTTCTAATTGCATTCCTGGTGAGGAATCTCCCTGAAAGTTTTAATGAGGCCAAGCTCATCACATTCAGCATGCTGATCTTCTGTGCTGTGTGGGTGGCCTTTGTTCCTGTCTATATCAGCTCACCGGGAAATTATGCAGATGCAGTGGAGGTATTTGCCATCTTGGCCTCAAGCTTTGGCCTCTTGATCACATTGTTTGGACCCAAATGTTACATAATCCTGCTGAAACCAGAATTGAACACAAAAAAGGCTGTAATGGGTCATGGCACTGAATCATAAAAATGTTTTCACATAAATTAAAATACATGCATGTAAATAAATACATTTAAATGATTAGATCTGAAACTTTTGAAGCTAAAGCATTTTTATTGTTTACTGAGAGCTTTTACCTAACGTGCACAGGGGACCAAAACTGAAGACACACTTTAGGTCACGGGCCAAACAAGGTAAACATTTTTTGAAAACACTAAAACATGTTTTTTAAACATAAATATAAATAAATATAGACAGGAATATTATTCCAAAATAAATAAACTTAAAAAAAATAAACTTTAACTTTAAATATTTTGCTCTTAACAAAAATATATCCTGTCAAAATTATGCAAGTTAGAAATATGAACATGCTGCCAAAAACCCCAGAAAAAATAAATGAAAGCATTTACAAGGTTCGAGCCGCATGTAGACAGAGCTGGGGCATTGCTTCAGGAATGGAACTAATAAACTTTGCAGCCCATTCAATGTCGTTCTTTGCCTTGAGTGTCCCATTACACTGCAGCTCCATCTGAATCTGCACAGGTGCAGTTTCCACATAAATGGGTTGGAAAGCAGCTCAAGATTCTCTTTTTGTGCTTCAAAATCACCAAAGTGTCATGCGAACTCAGTGCGCAGTGTGCTCAGTTTATTAGGAAAGTGCGCCGACTTGGTTCAACATTACTTGGCAACAGGGAACGTGAGGCAAGTTCCACTGGTGCATTTGTGACAGCTTCACTTGAAATGCCTTCACCGCATCATAGATGCCATGTCCATGACAGATTTCCTTGCTGAGCTCAAAAACTCTTTTGAGAACTTTTCCCCAACTCAGCCAATGGACCTCTGTATGATAAGGAATGTCGGCAAACTCTGAATCTATTTCCCACATAAAAGACTGAAATTGAGGGTGATTTAAATCTTTAGCTCAGATAAAATTTACGGTTTGCGTTACGGGGATTATTACATGCTCCATTTTTGGGACTTTACCACACAGTGTTTCCTGGTGTATGATCAGTGAGTGATATGCTGTTAACTCACTGGTACAGTTCTCCTCCTGCATCTTTACTCGCATCCTGCCGACTAGTCCACTTTTTGGACAACAGTGCTCCATCTGTTGTAAGTCCAACAAATTTGTCCCAGGGCAGTTTCATGTTTGGCATACGTTTTCAAAAATGTCTTTTCCTGTCGTTGTCCCATGCATCGATTTATTGTCCAATATTTCCACTCCACGGATGAAGATGGCCAGCTGTGCAATGTCCATCATGTCTGTACTTTCATCCACAGCAAGAGAGTATGCAATAAAGTTTTTGCTTCTGTCACACAACTGTGTTCTTAAATCAGTGGCTCTCCAAAAGTTGATTCTGTTCATCTGGACGTAGTGTTTTCAGTGGGAGAAACGTTTCATCACTCATCTAAGTGTCTTCTACAGTCTCAGCAGACTGCAGGATTCGTCAATCATATAAACAGTACATTTGCATAATAACTGAAACCAGCCCACTGAAGGAACAATGGGCTGGGAGGTCAGTTCCTTAATCATAATTATGCAAATTCTCATGACCATTGATCAACAACCACTGATCAAAGCCCACTGATCAATGGCCATGAGTACCATTCACAGAGGGTTGGGGAATGGCTGCAATCACAGCATTGTAAGATAGTAAAGATGTATCCTTAGGCCCCCACCACGATTCAGAGATGGTCTTCTCCTTGACTCCGCGCTCAAACCAGCGTTCCTCCCTGTCCAGGATGTGTACATACTCGTCATTGAAAGAGTGTCCACTGGCTTGTAGGTTTAAATATACTGCAGAGTCCTGGCCTGACGAGGTAGCTCTTCTGTGTTGTGCCATCCACTTCGCCAGAGGTTGTTTGGTTTCCCCAATGTATAAGTCCTGGCAATCCTCCTGGCACTTAACAGTGTACACTATGTTACTCTGTTTGTGTCGGGGGACCCGATCCTTGAGGTGGACCAATTTTTGGTGCAGCGTGTTTTGGGGATTGAAAGCCACAGAGACCCGGTGTTTAGAAATAGTGCATCTCAACTGTTCCGATACTCCTGACACATACGGGATCACTACAGGTTTTCGCTTAGTCACTGATTGTCCTTCTCTCCTGGATTGGCTGGAGCTTTCTTTTGGTACCTTCAGCTGTGGTGGACCCCTAGAGGGCTCCACTCACACCCAGTGTTGAGGAAGTGTGTTGCTGTGTTTTGTGGCGCGATGTGTTCAGTTGATCTGTGGAGAGGAATAAAGAAGGAGTGAGAACTAAGAGCTGTGTGTCGTCCATGCTTACCTCCACATCGGTGACCCCTGACTCGAGCATGCTACGGGCCGAGGATAACGCAGACTCCGTTATGGATGCAACAGTGGCCGCCGGTCCTCCGCCTCCTGCTGCAGCTACGTTTGCTGTGGCGCTAAAACTGCCAGGCTTTTGGCTCCACGATCCCCCGTCATTGTTCGTGCAGGTGGACGCTCAGTTTGCCCTTCACAGCATCTTGGCTGATGACACAAAGTATCACCATGTGGTGGCCTCGCTCGACCCACTGGCCACCCATCGCGCGATGACCCTCCTCCCTAAATAGCTGCTTCTTTGGCGCTATGCCCTCTCCGACACAGAACGAGTCGAAAGCTCCTCACCCTGTCAGGCTTGGGTGGTGGTACGGCTCTTGAGCTCATGGAGAACACGCTGTCGTTGCTCGGGCCAGATGACAGGAGATTCCTCTTCGCCCACCTCTTCCTCCACCAACTGCCGGCTGCCGTGAGAGCTGTCCTCGCCAACTCCCTGCTTCTGGCTGTGAAGGATTATCGCTCCCTGGCTGAAGAAGCGGAA